ATAATAGAAAGATTTGCCATAAAACATAATTATCATATCATGAAAACCAAGAAAATTAAAAAAAAATGGAAGAAAATGGCAAATATGTAGAATTTCTGCAAGTGGCAGTGCTCCATGTTGCTGTCAGGTGATCGCCAAGTGCCAACTTCGCGGCCCCATATCTCGGTAAGTACTGACCCTAAAAAAAAAAAATTTTATTCTAAAACACTTTAAAAAATGTGCTCTATTTTTTATATATATAAAAAAAAAAGATTTTTTTTTCAAAATATTCAGGGCGCTGCACGAGTGAATGTATATATACATTTGGACCATTTAAGGGTTAAGATTTGCCTAACATGGGCTACAACATTGTCATTGTAACAGTCACCAGCACGGCTTGCAATAGCTGTGTTAGGGTGATTTTCATCCATAAAAGTTTGCAGTTCAACCCACTTCGCACATATTTCCTTAATCTTTAAAAGTAGGCACAATGGATTCTACAACGGGCATGGGCTTCCAGGGTTAGCCCTAAACCCTTCAAACTCTTTTTTAATTTTCCATACTAATTCTCCCCTTTTATCACAGGGGCACAGAAGCTTTTTTGGGGGGCCCAGGGACTTTTTTTTGCATTACAAGCCAAAAAACCTGGGAAAGGTAAATGTATCAAATTATACTGGGTTACTGCACTGGGTGGCTTGTAAAAACCTTTTCCACGGGACAGCGAGGCCACCGTGGACGCGCCCGGGCGAATCACTTTGGGGGGGGAGTTTTTCGTTAGGGGTGCAAAATTTTTGCGTTTAAAACTTTGTAAAACAATTTAATTCATGCAATGCGTTTGTTAGGTGGGGGCCCTGTACTGGAGGTAGCATCTCTTAAGTGTCAAGTGAAAAGGCAAGGCAGTTGTATATGGTTTAAATTAAAAAAATGCCTGCAACTAGTGGTGATGTGATGAAAATTTAAGGGAAACAAAAGTTGGTTTTTAAAAATTAAGAAAATTGGGATCATAGTGTGATAAGGCTGGTGAGGCTCCCTTTGGACCAAAAAACTTTTGAAAAATGTGTGCAGGAATTTCCGGGGGGACATAAAACTGAAGGATTGCAACTCCAACAAGTGTGTTACAAAACAGGGCCCGTTTTGAAAGAAATCCAAAAAAGGCCCTACATTACACAGGGGGAAAAAGCACTGCCAGGACACAAGCCATGAAAACAGGGTAAACCCTTTAAGTTGTGAAGAATGCAGGGGGATTAAGAGTGAAGCCTCTCTAGGGCCCCCCCCAAAATCCCAAATGTTCGGGAAAAAAATTCAAAATTTATTTTCCATAAGGATTACAATTCGAGTTTACAGAATTTGGTTTTGTGTTTTTACATGTAGTAAAATAAAAATTACGAGTGTACCCCAAACACCTAGCTGGCTAGGGATTTCAGGCAACTTGATTAAAATCTTAAGTTTAAAATATTAAAAATTTTGAGGGAATTGATACAGTGGGCCCCCGCTAACATGGGGACACATACGATTATTCGCATACCGCTTACTTTAATTGCAAAAATTTTGCCCCACATACCCCTTTTAAAAACCCCTTTCCCCCATTTTCTTTTTCCCGGACACGCTCACTTTTTTCCCCGGGGGCATTGTTTACCAGCCAGCCTCCGGGTAAAATCCAAGCATCACTCGGAATATTTCGTATTATTACAGTTTTTCGTGCTGTTTCGGAAAATAATGACAGGGGGCCCAAAAAGCTTCTAGTCCCAAACCCGGGGTTTAAAAAGGGTGAAATAAAGTAGGGAAATTAAGAAAATTTTAAAGGGTTTTGGGGGGCTAACCCCTAAAGCCTATCCTTTTTGGGGAACCACTGTGCCTCTTCAAGATTAAAAGGAAATGTGTGCACAGGGGGTTAACGAAAACCCTTTTATAGATGAAAATCACCCTGACACGCTGTTTCAAGCCGGCTGGTGACTTTTTAATGACATGTTTGGCCCATTTTTGACAAATCGTAAAAGGGAAAGGGGGGTACAGGCCTATGGGCAGATTTGTTGGCGACAGGCCGGACTCTCAAGCTGGCCCAGTGGCATTTTAAAAGAAGAAGGGAAAATAACCCCGGAAAAAGGACTTGCTACCTCAAACGTAATGGAAGGGGGTTCCCCTTCTAAACAGTAGAAAAAAAATGCCTCCCCCCCCCATCCCTCAATTTATCACCAAATTTTTCAATAAAAGAAATGTCATTTAATTTTGATCCTTTTTTCATTTGTGTGTTAAAATTAAAAAATTTATGTGGGAAAAAAAAATTTTTTTTACTTTTGGGGGGCTTTCACGGAAAATTTATTTCCATTATTTTTGGGGGAAAAATTTATTGCAAACATTATTTTTCATAAAAGATACCCCTTGCACGGGTTTAAAATCTTTTTCCCGGGGGGGCCCCTTTTTATGGTTTAATGACTAAATACTAGTTTGGAGTTTAGCAATGTGAATGCTTTTGTTTTTGGGACATCATATTTCTTTTTGGAGATCACAGGGCCAAATTATGACTATTTTAAAATTCATTTTTTTGAATTGAATTTATATTTTTTTAGGTCAAAATGGGGAGTGAGTGAAGTGTTTAACCCCAGGGGGTATTTGGTAATTTTTGACAGGGTTATCAGGGGGATAAGAGTTTTTTTGATGGGGTTTTTAAGGTGATGAATGTCTCATTTTAGAGTTTTCAGGTAAAGTGTTCCAGATTTTTAGGCCTTTGACATACATTGAATTTTTTGTAAAGGTTTAGTCGGGCACGGGAATGCCCTAAGATTTTTGCTGGGGGGGGGGGGGGGTCCTTTGGGGGTTTTGTCACAACTACAAAAAAGCTTTTAGGGCAAGGGTTAATTTGGAAATTTAAGGCCCGTAGATTAAATGCCAAATAATGTGGATTACGAACAGGGGGTAATTTAGGGATTAAGAAGAGTGGGGGGGTTTGCCAGGGATGGGATTTAGTGATTTATTTACTGCCTTTTTGTTGGGTTATTATTGGCTTTTGTGTGTTGCGAAGTTGAACCCCGCCGAACTAGGGTGGGGGGAGGGATAATAATAAAAAGGGATAGTGGGAGAAGGGCATTTGCGGCACGAGTTCGATCTTGGAGAGGATCACAACCCTTTTGGATACTTTTTTTGGTTTTTGGTTGGATATGGTGCTGAAGTTGGTTGTTGTCGGTTTTGGTGGAATTTTTCCCTTCATTAGCCCCGGGGTTAATTGGCTGTCATCCGTGATATTTATGCCCCATCTGGGTTGGGGGGCAATTAGGGGTAAGTGGTAAGTGGTTCCCCGGGAAAGGGTTCGGTGTTGTTGTTTTGGGGGACTTGATGTTTTGGGGGAAAGGGGGGGGCCAAGGGAATTCCCTGCAGAACCCCGACAGGGGTGTGTTGTTGGCATGTTCTTTAAAGGTCTCTGAAAACCTTTGGGGGTGTTTGGTTGGCGAAAGGCTTTTTATACCTTTGGCGTTGGGATAGGTGCCATGGCTACTGTAAAACTTTTTAGGTCTAAAAATTCCTGGATACCTTTTTCTGCTTTTGTGGTTGTTTT